TGATTTGCAAGACTAGAAAGGGGGTCCAGGGAGCTTCCCCCAAAAAAATTCCGAAATTTTAAAGCGTCAAAAATGCATTTTGAGTCAATTCCGTCATGAAAAATTACCAAACAAGCGTCCTTCTGTCTTCTTTCCTCCGTTCCTTCCCTCTTTCTTTCTTCCCTTTTTCCTCCTCCTTTTTTCGGGTGGACAGAAGGGGCATACGCCCCCTACCCCCTCCCCTCCCCTCCCCTAAATCCTTCTACGGGAAAGTCCCCTCGTGATCTCCACAAATGTCCGAAATCGATGCCTCATTTCACCTTTAACGATAGCCTACGATATTTCGTCCCTGCGGGCCGATTATTGAAATCAATAGACAAAGCTATAGACAAAAAAGACACAAGAGATATGGAGAAATCTTATTGATGGAAGCAGGTGGTTGCGATGGACAAAGGAAGTAGATAATAGACTAACTAAAGGCAACCTACGAGAGACCCGATAGTTAGTCCATCATTTTCTCCTTTAGTCTATAGGAACCACCCATTTCAACCAATTGGATCATTCCACACTCCCCATGTATTCCTTGTCCATAGCTTTGTCTATCAATTTCAATAATCAGCCCGCTGAGGCAGATTGCATTACCTCATTTAACCTCTCGCATAGTGCGACGCCCTTGCATTGACGAGGCGTGATTGACCAATTATCGATATATCCTCATTTGAAGCTATGGTAAAGAATCGATTATTAAGTTATACCCTGTTTATCGATCATTTTCCATGAATTTAAACGGCAGATCGATCGATACATCGCAAAGCACGCCAGGCCGCTGCGCCCTTGGTGTTGATTAATCAATCCGCAGCGGCGAGAATCCTTATCGTTGCATCAATCAATCAACAAGCGAGGCGTCCAGCTGCTATGCTCTTCGCACTTGCACTCCGGGCATCCGGTCCCCGCCTTCCGCGAAAACAACCTTAAAACGCATAACCTTAAACCTTTCGGCCACTCCGAGTCGAAATTCGCAGGAAACCCGGACGTTGCAACTGCACTCGCGTGCAGCCCACTAATTAATCATCGATATTCAATCGAGAAAAATTGCCGCCGTTTTTTGCAGAAACCTCGGATCTCCGCATGGGTTTTCATTGGAGTTAGGCGGTGCGAGTCGGGAGGGCAGAGCGATTAGCGCCTTCTCGCTGGCTTCCGGAATTCGAGAGTGCTTGGCACTGATGACCTGATTAAAGCTCAATTAAGATATGGTTTCCGTTTTATGGTGGAATTCGTTGGCCGGGTGCCCGGGAAGTCTTTTTTCCCGGTGATTATGCAATAGATCGTTTTCGATAGTGGTTCGATGTATCGTTTGGTTCAAAACAATAGAACATAACCTGAAACAAAACTTTCAGGATTTCAGTCGGAAAAGCTGAAAATGAGAAAATTCCTAACTATTTCACCTTGCGATGCCGTTTAGCACTCGCATAAGAATCAAAAATCTATCAGAAAAACCTCGTTTCCTCAGATTACTCGATTGACTTTTGGGGCTATGTTTACATGTTGAACCAATCGATATCGATACAATCTCACCTATTTGATGTATCGAAAACGATCTATGGGAGGATCCGATAACTACCGCTTTATCGAAGAGAGCGGTAATGACCGTATTTTCAAAATCGAGTTTTCATCAAAATGAACCAGAGGATAGGGTTCAAAATTAAGGATCGCGATATATATGAAATTTTGTGTAGAGGAATACAGTGTTTACTCAATTAGTGATCGCGATAAGTTGCGATTCCATCGGATAATGTATGGCAATTTTTTTAATGTCGATCGATAAAAAATCGAATAAAAAAATGCGATTTCATCGCTTAAATTTGCAAAATAATCGTGATTTTATCGACGGCGATTTATCGCAATACTATCGAACGACAAATCGTGAGAAACTGAGAAAAAATTTCGATTTTATTGAACGCGATTTTATAAAGATGAAATTGATTAAACTGGTGAATAGTTTCATAATAATGTAATTGAGGTGTCTATCACCGGCGTTGAAAGGAGCTGATAAAAACAAATTTCGTGTTGTTAAAAGTGAACCACTACAAAATAATAATAAATATTTGGAAATGAGCTTGTTATTTAAGTTCAACAATAAGCATACTTCTGGCGGATGCTCCTCACTAAACTTACGTTGCCGTGTTGTGAGAAAATTATGCTGCTATGCACTGGAAAAAAAACACATTGAATCTATAGCCCAGATTCTTGAAAACATTGACAAGAAAAAATACTCTTGATTCAATCGGATTTTTGCTTGAATCGAAACGAAATCCACTTAAATTAAGAGGCTTGGTTCTTGATTTAAGCTAGATTATGATTGAATCAAGAGTACTTTTTTTTCTCGATATTTTGAAGAGTCTGGACTCTAGATCTAATGTGTTTTTTTCCAGTGTGTGCTAACATTTGACTGAACGATGATATACACATTAATCAACTAATAAATGATAATTTTTATTAATATGATTGCACTAAACGCACAAGTCATCTAGACAGAAAAAGTTTGTGACGTAGCCAACGGATACCACAACTTTATTGAGATGTTCAGCTTTATGCTAATTTTTACGCACGTCGGCTGCGTCACCAACTTTTTCTGTCATAGTTTTTTTGTTCAAAAGAATGATTTTTTCCTCCAGAAAATTCTGAGAGTAATAGCATTAAGACTTTTCAAAGATGTTCAACTCGATCGGAAAATATCTCCTGCAAAAAAAACTTGACAATATTGCCTCTTCAGTGATGAGTGTAGGTAACTTGAGATTCCGAAGCAAGATCTCGGGAAAAATTTGCTGAGCCAGCAAATAACGAGGAATCGTTCGTACTTTATCGCTCAGTAACCAGAGCCGCGGTAAAATTGAAGAAAAACAAAAAAGCACGCAAGCTTTAAAACTTTCATTTATGCAAGCTAACTTCTAAACCAAGTTGGTCTCACTAAAAGGATAACTAGACTGCCGTGTTAAGGAAAAACGCCGTATGAACATTCGATAGCTGCCAAATTTCCCCAGATTAATCATGTATTTTTTAGGAAAGTTACCCATGTTTTCCCTTGAAATTTTCACGTATTTTAGATCGAATTGCGAACAAAATCATCCGAAAATCTGAAGCAAAAAATTTAACAGAAAAAGCGGTTTTTATTGAGGAGAATCTGGCAACGCCTAAAGGCTCATCCGTCGTTTTTCCTTAGCACGGCAGTAGAAGTGATCTGGTATGAGTTGGTGCTTTCTCACCAATTATGTTATTGCTTTTAATTATTAGTATGCTGCAGTTATATTCGTGTTTTCTCAATTCTTATTGTACGTCTTATATACCCTTTTAGACCTTGGCAAGCTGATTTGCTTTGAGAATTAAAATAAATTACCAGAGTCTTAACTTTACTCAATTAGGACAGTTTTGGAACGTGATCAAAACCTTATAAAGATGGGACAAATATTACGCTATTCATATATTCTAGCGACTTGGCAACGTTTCGGTGCTCTGCAGCCTGAATTATGACTTCTGTTCTCTTTCCGTCATCGGGTCCTCAGAACGATTGTTCTGGTTTTTTCTTCCTTTTTTGTCACTTTCCAACATTTTTTACTCGTAACTTGTTCAAATACCGCGGTTTAAATTCACAAATCGAATGGAAAGCAGTTCAAGGTTTGAGGCAGAGACATGAACAAAAGCTGCTGAACCGCACCTTTATTCGTGGAGGAAGAGTTGAAGTAAACTTTGAAGAAGTCAAAGTCACAATTTTCACAAGTTCAAGTCGTTGGTCTCATAACTGACCGGTGCAGGAGTTTTAATGTCAGCATATTTGCTGTCAGGCACCTAATTTTGGCAATTTGGCAAAGAACGGATGCTTCTTTCAATAAAATTTTCCGGTCGGATACTTCTGAGCCCGTTTTCTCAAAACTTCATTTTTGCACTTACTGCTCTCTTCGTTATCACGGCAGAATAGGATTGATCCCAACGATCTAGAAACTATAGATAGGGGGATCCTATATGCTTCGCAAACAGTGTTTGTAACACACTAGAACCAGGAGCAACAATTAGGTTAGGACGAAGATAGTCGGTTTCTATGGCTTCTTATGGGACTGTTGCTGAATACGGACTTATATCAAATTTAGAACTAACTGTTTGAAAATCTGTGTCCAGATATTTTATTCTAAAAATTCCCGTAAGATTCTATGTATTTAAGGTTATGACGAAGATATCAATCGACCATTTCCACTCCCTGCCCGCCTATCGAACGACCGCTCCATGATGTGTGTTACGTTTTTTCGTAGGCCACCACCAATCTATGGTTTCTAAATCGTTGACCCAAGTAGCATTTTTCAACGGAAAAATCGCGATTTGTTGCGATTTTGTCGGCGATAAAATCGTTCAGATCATCAACATCTGAGCGATTATCCTCGATCTTGTTGCAATAAAATTGTGATTTTATCGCCCGACAATTTATCGCGATATACGGCGATTTAATCGCGATTTTATTGAACAAAAAATTGCGATGCATAGCGATCTAATCGTCATAAATCGCAATTTTTTATTAGATAATACTTCGATAAATTGCCACCAATATAATCGCGATAATCAACCGATAAAATCGTTATTTATCGCGCACTGCTACTTACGGAATGATCCAAACTCCATATCGTCGCCTTCCAGGCAAAGTATCACAAGCGCCATGCGACGTTTAAAAATTTCCGCCGCCATTTTATTTTTTTACAGAGAAATTGTTCAACGAAGCTGTCCGAAAATTTCACTGAATTTTCTTTGTGCTGCTGATAAAATTTAGTGAAATTTCCAAACAGATTCAACCAACAATTTCTCAGTAAAGAAATAAAATGGCGGCGGAAATTTTTAAACGTCGCGTCGCATGGCGCTTGTGATACTTTGCCTGGAAGGTGACGATATGTCCTCCTTGTCTAGAGCTTCATCTATCCATTTCAGCAATCGGCAGCAGGCAGAAACCTGCGAGAGCCCTTGAGAAATATAAAGAAACTCACCTTTATACTGCTGAAGCTCGTTGTTGGCCGCCGTGGACACGGCGAGGGCGCTCTGACTCCCCGGGCCCGGCGGTCTCTTGCCGGGAGGCTTGGCGGCGCCCGAATTGCTATTATCTAAACTACGCGTACTATCACTATGCTTCCCGCATTTAACACTATTATCACCCAGATTATTATTTACACTATCACTAACATCACTTTTCCCGTCCGCGCAGGGGCAGTCGTCATTGTTGTTGTTGTTATTGTTGTTGTTGGATTTGACTTCGTTGACCGTGACGGATTCGGCGAGGCCGAGGCGGGCACCCAGGAGGTTCCGCGTCGACTCTGATTGGTCCAGGTGCCCGGTGCTCGTCCCCAGGGAGCTGAGCTTGGCCCCGATGTACTGGAGGTGGCTGTCGTCGCACGGTTTTCGGGCCCGGCGGGTGTCGCCCAGGTGGCGCAGGGAGTCCAGGAGTTTCCCGGCCATCTCCCGGGTGGGCTGTTAGCTGCGTGGATTAGAACGTCGCCAGGAGGTGCTGCTCTGCTGATGGCACCAGCATCCTCTTCGGTTCTGAAACAGAGGAGACGAGCTTTGAGTTACCTTCAATTTGAGACGAAATGCACTGAAAAAAAAACTGCGGCTCCCACGGCCGGAGTTTTTTTTCAGTGTGAACATAGATCTTTAACAAATTTTGAAGTGGGGTCGTGCAAGAATTCCGTAAGCAAACTAGAAGGAAGGGGATCTAAACAAGCATTCCTTACCAGATTTTATACTGATATAAAAATATTGGTAATCTTGTGTTGGTTTTGGTTAATGTAGGAAGTGAAACACAAGCCAACACACATTTTGTGTTGATTTTGGTACAGTTTGCGATTAATTTAGCGCAGAAAACAATGCTGCCGGGCAAAGGAAAAACGCCGTATGAACCTTCAGGCGTTGCCAAATTTTCTTTGATGAAACACGAATTCCCTGGTTGAAGTTTCTGAAAATTTCAAGGAGAATTATTCATAATTTTTCTCGAAAATAGACATTTTATCTAAGGAAATTTGGCAACTCTCGAATGTTTATACGGCGTTCTTCCTTAGCACGGCAGAATGGAGAACTTGCGAAAATGCATTCCACCGATTGCAACGTTGGTATCCACAACTCGTGTTTAATTAAATTTCTACGAGAAAACTAGCTGACATTTCCTCTTGAAACTGTCAACCGAAGGATGGGGTCATTTTGTTTTTTACTTCCCGTATTAATGCAACTTTTTTGTTGAAATGTCTCAGAAAATAACGGAGATCATTTACGAATTTCAAAGTGGGGTCGTCCAGGTATTACGTAGGCAAACTAGAGGGAAGGAGGTGTAAACGCGCCTGCCTTGCCAGATATTTCGGGGGGGGGGGGCAGGTTAAGCACAATTTTACGCCCTTCACTTTAAAAAAAGAAATAACAAAAAATATATCAGCCAGTTTTCAGGCATCCTCCGTTATTTTCTGAAAAATGGGAGGTGAAATGTTTGGGCTATTCTCACGAAATTCCTTTTAGAGGAGATGGGGCCAATACATCTAATAATTGTTGTACTTTCAATGTTCTTGATATCAGTTACTTTCCGTCCCTATACACTTTTTTCCTCCACCTAACAGAATGATATTTTGCCTCGGGCTTGTAGCAGAGCGCAGCGCGCGGTCGCGGCCTTCTTCAGGGAACGAAAAGTCAGAGTGCCTTCAATTTTTGACGATGCAACACGGACATCCTTAGAACACGAATAGTTGCATCCAGGCGCTAACATCAATGGCACGCTGCACTACCGCGTCAGTAGTGACAATTTGCGCATGTTATAGCAATACTAGTTGTTCTCCATCAGGATTGTTGGTCGTTCAACCAGTTTTTGGTCTATCAGATAGTGATTGTGTTTTATATGAATGACCGAATTGCAATAATCGATAAATTCATTGTAGAATCCCCGTGAAAATGTTGTAACCGAAGAGTGACGTTTTTGAGCCAAACTATGCGTTCAATTTATCTTCACTGTAAGACTTGAGAACAGCTCCTGATTCATAAATTACATTCTCACCTTAATGTTATCTTAAGTAAATTCAAATCTTTATTGAGAAGCATTTCCTACATGCATATAAGTTTTTATGTCTTAAAAATCGATAATGAAAGGCACTGCACAAAAACTGAATGTCACGGCCGATTGCAACACAACGCCCGGAGGTGAGTGTATTCATCGAACTCTGAGATGATAAAACATGGAATATTTTTTTTATCGATTTGGGGTTTAAATATTGTTCATAAGATGTTGTACAGGTAAATTAAACGGACGTTGACAAAACTTGAAAGCTTTTTCTTTTCATCCAAGGGGCCAATATTAAGATATTATATATCAACGGCGTGAGTTCGCGGCCATGTGTCTCGTTTACGGTGTTTGAAAAACTCCGCTTCTATTTTATTGTTTTGAATGAGATCAAACAGACATAAATCCTTGAAGTTTCCGCAGAATTTTCTTTGCACAGAGACAAAAAATAACGGCAGTTATTAAGAATTGCTGTTGAGTGGTTTTACACTTCAAAAAGAAATATGACAGGAAGTTTGCATCGCCGCAAACCGAGATACGTGGTTGCAGAATGCAGACTCAAGCCGTCGATTTGTGTTTCACAAATCCCATGAAATAAATGAAATAATTCCTCCTCGCAATCCGTTTAAGACTTGAAAAATATGTCTTTTAAGACGGATTTTTTTTAGTCAACTCCTCTAAACCTCGATTGCTATACTCAAAAATCACGTTTCTCGATTTTCGACATTGGAGGTACGAGCCCGTCTTCCTTATTTTTTAATTGGGAAACCGATCAGCTGAGTGTACAAAATGTTTGCCTCCTTTAGTCCTTGTTAGTGAAATTGGACTGGAGTATCAACAGAACAATTTGCAATGTTTACATGTAAGAAAAAATGACCGTGCATTATAAGCCTGCATTTTTTTTTTTTTTTTGAAAAAAATAGGAAGAATAAAAAAACAAACCATTTTCATTCTTTAAAACATTTAAAAAAATTGCATATAATTTCTTTCCCTCCTGTCAAGACGACAGTGACCAGTATAAAATTACTCTTTTATTGCGTAAGCAGGAATGTTTACGGAAAAAGACATTTTCGATGGTATGTCTCCATGAAAATTTTGCGCTGCTTACGGTCGCTTTTTAATGACTGATTCATCACAAGAGCAATAAAAATTTTTATGAGTTGCGTCCACAGGACTTCCTCTTACGACCTTTGTTTGCCAAAACGGCGTCCTTTGCCAATTTTTTTCTCTCGGAATCAAAATTTGATGATCTGTGACGTTACGTCCCTTTCGGAATGAAATCATCGAGAGGTAAACTCGTAAACGACAGGACGTTTGGTGGAATATATTTTTTAGTCACTCAAGGTGGTGTTTCACTCCTTGAGACACCCTTGACTCGGAGGCAACCTCCAGTGTTGTGGTTTACGCCTTTAGGAGTATTTAAATTATGCTTTCACACGCTGCAATTTTTTTCCGCACACTGTGACATTCAGCGAGGTGAACCGATTCGGGCACTTTGAACCGTGACTTTTGGAATCAAATGCACCATATGAATAAATTTAAGACTTTTGTAACTACACGCTGCTTTCCTCTGATAATCTTGTTGGCTGAATAATATCCTGTAGAGCATTAGGAAATTCTCTGCCCCCATCGTTCTAGGTATATCGGTCAAGCTTAACCTTTTTTTTTTTTTTTTTTTTTTTGAAGCTACTTTATGTTAAAGTTCCTATATATCGAGAGTGCGAACATATCGCAATATGGAGTTCATAGGACCCAAAAGGGCAGCCAACGTTCTATCACAAAAAATGTCACTGCCAATCTTTAGAGATTCCGAAATCGAACCAAGATAGCCAAGATTGTTCAAACAATGAAAAATACCGTTAAACTCTTAATGAACTTTTTTTACGTAATTATAAGGATTGATACCTTTTTAGATGTAATCCGTGTTCCTGTACCCGTCACGTGCTTGATGGAAAATAAGTAGTGAATATTTCGCAATTTTGAGTCCAGTTGGATGACGTTACACAGATGGTAATTCGAATCACAACTTTTCAAATTAAGTAATGGACGAACGAAACGAAAAAGGAGCAAAAAGATATGATAATAAACCCGATATGCCGTGAAAGGTCCAGAGACAAACTATTTATCACGCCAAGCAGTATCGGCCTCAAATTGTGTAGAAGTTACTTTCGGGAATCAGCAATCAGCAGCAACCCCCAATGATCGACGTGTTGAACAGCCCCCTCATAAAATGAAGGGGTAAGTTTTACAATATTTCTGCCCAATTTGACATTCTGTCACCATCAAACGTCGGTATCGGAACGCGAAAACGTCTCCATGCGGTCTAAACTAGGCATTGGGGATGGGAGAGCAAGTCGGTACTTGTGAATCTAATATTATTTATTTTTCCCGGATCTCGTTTTGTTATAAAAACCATGTTGCTAAGAACAAGTACAATGATAATGAGCCCTGCACGTATATCGATGATTTCATGGGGACTTTGTTAATAATCCGCCAACAGCCAACAATCAGTACAATCACCCACTTTGAAGGTGTCATTTTAATCGCTCAAAATTTCTCACCGATCGAGCAAACCAGAGGCTTCCGTTGAGCTCATTGAAACTTTTTAGCCCTCGCATTGTCCAGCGGATCAAACTCTGATAGCTCAACCAAACTTCAATTTGTACGGTTCACCAAAATTCTCGGTTCCGAGGGGTCAAAAACTTCGGTGGATAAATCGAAACTCAGTACTGCTGCTCCAAACATTGATTGCCAAAAATAATATTTGGTCTCTATTGCCGAAAGTTTGTTTGTAGCCGTGAAATGAACCGATCTTGGTAATAACAACTTTAAAAAGCAATTTTCAGGAACTTTTCAAAAACTGTTTCAAATTATTTTTCAGGAAACCCTTCTTGTTTACTTTTCGAAGTAAAATGTGCGTAAAACAATCTTTTCCAAAAAAAAAACAAATCCAAAAAAAAACAAAAAAAACACCATTTTAATAGGGATTTTCAAAATTTTCTTCAAACGCTTTAAGTGTAAAAAAAATGTTCTAGATCTTTACGGTACTTTTCAACACTTTATCACTTGAATTTCAGAAAAACAAAAATACTACAAAAGAAATGTCATCAAAGTTAAATTTTGAAACTTTTCGGAAAAAATTATCGCGCTAACATTTACGAGCTTCTTTGTAGNGGGGGGGGGGGGGGGGGGATTGACATGGGTTTTCGCGCGTGCAGTTTGATCTAAGATCCACTGAAAAATTGAATCTTAAATTGGCCGCCGAGAAGAATTTATTCTTAAATCAAGAATTTTGCCACTTAATATAAACTAATTCTTTGCTTAACCCGAGCAATATTTCCCTGTACTAAGAAAAATTCAGCTTAGATCAAGAAAAAAAAAATTATTGGCGGCAAATTCAAGAATCACCATGCTTGAGTCAAGCACATTTTTTTTTTCAGTGAATAAAGGGCTTGTAGACTGCTCTAGAGAAAACGTTATCCCTATGTATTCCCGAGAGTAACTT